ACACATACAAGAAAACATATAACTTGATAAACAACCAAACAATAATGATAACAAAACGCGTACATGAAAGGTAAAATGTGACCAAAATTATGTGGTAACACACACAACAAATATGTATAAGTAATATGTACACTACGTAGGATTAATAAAACAAATACAACACAAAATAAAAACAACTACACCATAACGTGACTACTAACAAAAATTATAGCAAAAACATAATAAATACTAAATCACAATAAGTATAGTGGTACACAAATTAAAACGTGAAAAAACATGAGCAAGAATACACTGCATAAAATATAAAACTCACTAACTACAAAAATATTTCGACTAAATACGTAACCATAATACAATATGTAAAAATACAAAAATCAAAGCTAAACAAATACACACATTGTAACGACCTTTAATAACCCTATACACAAACTATAAAGCCATAACACCACACACTCATACCGAAAAATAACAACTCCTATTCAAAGAAAAATATAAGAATAAAATGATATTGATATAATATGATCTAAGAAAAAATATAAAAATAAGAGAAACGAAACAGAAGAGTAACACGATGTAAAATAACACAAGTCAAAATAATAAAAATACCAATCTGACAAAGAAAAACATAATTGAAGGACTCAATGTATTCAAATAAGTAACGAACAAATTGACAGTATAAAACTTAAAATAAACTAACACATACAAAAATCGTAGAATACACTGAAACATAAATGCTTACTAACATTACTGATACTCATAAACATACTACTAGATAAAGAAGTATAATATATAAAAACAAAAACTATGAAAGGTAAAATAGGTATATAAGCATATGAAACATAAGAAGAGCATAATTCTGTATAATAAAAACACCGATATATTTTAGATAAACATGTTTACACAGTTGATACTAGAAATAATGAATGACTATAAATCAATAAAAATAACATCGTACGTAAATATAATAATCTACATAAATAAACTATAATAAAAAGAGAATAGTAACTATAAAAGAATGAAAAAGTAAAACATAACACAAGTAACGAAAATAATGAATAGAGAATGAACAACAAACAATGACACAATAAAAGACATAAATATCTAACAATACCATAAAATAAATACAAAAAATAACACGTGTATACAATATATATTGTTACAATGACAAAATAATACATATTAAAAACGAAGCAAACAAATAATAAATGTGTAAATACACTATAAACAACCTATGAGTAATACTATACATACCCACAAACGCTATTGAAAATAATCTTTTATATTAGTTATAAAAGTACAATATTCAATGATACAAGATAATATTATAAAAACCTATATAAATAGTAACTCAAACCCCAAACCTAACAATATGAATAAACGTTTGAATATTAAAGTATAAATACATTGCTCTTAGAAATAGCGAAACCAATTGTGAACATACTAAAATAATCTAACAAGACAAAACTTACTGATATAAACTATATACTGAAAATGTAAAGGATAAGAATATAGTGCATATGTAGAATATTAAAATCATGAACTTATTAAAGTATATCACAAAATACGAACAATATGCAATTATCTAAACATAAGTAAATAATAGATGATATGACAGAAAAACACACTCATACACTATATATGATATGCAAAAGTATAATTAAACATAATAAAATAATCTAAATATCAGATATGATATGCGATATATATGTGAAATCTAATGACATGATTTAAACAATTGAAAATGTATAAGTAATGATATATATTTTTAATGGAAAACATACAATATAACACTGTGTGATACAAAAAATAATATAATAAATAATACACAAATTAATACAATTAAACCATATATATAAGCCAAACCAAAGGAAACATAGTCGTAAAAATAATAACACATATAATAACGACCGATACGAGGATAGAGGAGTTATAGGGAGAGAGCGTGTAGTCGCGAAGCAATGAAACGAGAACAGTGAGAAGCCCCGATGTCAAAGAATTGATAAAATAGGGACGAAACGAAATCTATCAAGAAAATAGGATAAGAGCTCAAGAATAGTCTCACGGATAAAATCATGATATGAGTCTAAATTGTCCATTATATTCTTACTAGTAAGGACTCGGGACTGTGACCTTCATGGGCCACCAAAAAAACCTGTCACACCCTGCTTCCCAAAATACCCGGGAATCGGAACGTGAACAAGCCCGTGACGTATTAGATTAAGGAGAATAAATAAAATTAAATATTTCTCCTCAACCTAATATGCTAAGCATCAAGAAATAAATACAATACGAAGTCACAGGTCCCCGATCACAGTTAGCAAGAATATAATAGACAAACTCAGAATAAAATAATCCATATCACAAGTAAATATCATCCAAGACATAAAAATACGGGTCGAACATGCCCTTATACAAAACTGAACAAATGAATACTGGAGAAATATAAAAAATACATCGTCCAATGGAAATGAAAGCGCTACAAAAATAAACTGAAAGGAATAACTAAGCTTCAGTTTCTTCTTCTGCTCCGTCCGCTAGGCACTCTTGCTGAGAAAATCCTGGCTCTGGCACATCTCCAAGCTAGACCCGTTCTTCCTCTAAGTCTAACGTACACTAGAGAAAACATGTGTACGTAAACGTGCATGGCACACGGCAAGATCCCACAAAACAAATAGAGCAAAGGAAAACCCAAGCGAAAAACGATACGATAACAGAAATGGCCAAAGGAAATGCAACTAGAAATCCAACAAAATCAACATGCGAAAACACTACTAAAACATGATAATCATAAGGCTAACTGCACACTATAACCTGGTCGAGTACTACCCATCCTAAAACTCACTGGTCCACATCTCACACAGAGTCAACGCTCATATAATCGGATAACTGAGTGTTCACAAATCCCTACGTACATCCAAACCTACGAAACGATTTCACTGACCAAGTGCGAAACGATTCACTTGGCCCAACAAACTAACTCCAGTACGAAACGGTTCACTGGTGTGAGTTTGGAAGATACATCAATAGCCTTATCCGATCACATGAACCAAGACTTCCCCATCCCAACTCTTCTCATTTTTAAGTCAACAATCAGTCCCTATTAAAAGTCTGGTTCACCACCTAATTTCAGTCAACACACCCATACATGTCACTAGGCCTGTTCATGACGCACGAGGCCACTAAGTCATGAACTACTAGAGTTCTCAACATAACCAGGAACATTAAAAGTAGACATGTCAAATACAATAAAATAATCGCAAAACATGAAATGTAATCATGAATCAGTAAAAACATGCATATAGTCCATTTTTATTAATATCTTGTTATCCGAATCTCAATACTACTCATAAAAATTATCCGCGGCTAAATAATATCCAATATGACTACGGTTAAAAATAAAATCGAAAACTGTGATTGTTTTACACATGAAATGTCATAGTCTACAACTACCCACACAAAATCATAAATTACTTAAAATCCATAATAAATAATTCTTTTCGCAAATAAATTCCTTCAAATCATCATAATTATCAAAAATGATTCTGTTTCCAAAATAATTCCTTTTAAATTATTATAATTTTTCTAAATGATTCTGTTCTCAAATAAATTCTTTTTAATTAATATAATTATCCAAAAATAATTCCGCTTCCGAAATAAATTCTTTAATTCATTATAATTATTCTAAAATAATCTTTTCTAAAAATAGTTTAACAATTCAAAATAACCCATTTTCCAAAATAAATTATTTATCTATCTTAATAATTATTAAAAACCAACTCCTTTTCCAAAATAATCTATTTTCTCATCATAATAATTCTAAAAACATCTCAAAATAACCACTTTTACACAAAATAATTATTCCTTTAAATTACTTATCATAACATCATTATCAATATGATCATCAACAAGTCCACATAATTATCATAATATTCATAGAGTAACATAATTCAAATCAATCAAATTGAAGCATATAATTAATTCATAATATCTAAAAATTAGAACAACGAGTCAAAGAATATCGGGATCTTGCCTCAGGTTTTTGTCGAACGAATCGACGTTGACGGTGCAGCGCGTCGGCGCTGAAGGCGACAGATCTAAACAGCGACGTCGGCGGGGAACTCGGCGATGTAGCGGATGGCGGTTCAGATCTGAGAGGCGACGGGGCTGAGCGTCGACGGCGCTTTTTATATTGCAATTGACACATACTACAATTAGAATACTTACAATAAAACTAAGAAATTTTTTATATTTTCCTGGGTTTCTTTTCTGTACCGATGGAGCATCGATCTTATACTCCATTAACGAACCAACTAAGGCAATGGGTCTTTTGTTGTTGATGAAAGCTTCGTTGCTTGAAGATATCTCGGTCATCTTTTAGCATCAAAGTTCAAGAGACACGCAAGTGCGAGGCTGGTGATCTCTTGTTTTTTCGTGTGTGAATCTTGATCTCTCTATATGATCAGATCCTCAAAAATGAGCAATCTCCTCTCCTTTTATAGGCTAAGAGAGAGAGAGAGAGAGAGAGAGAGAGAGAGAGAGAGAGAGAGAAAATTAAAATAAATAATTACTGATATTTAAAAATCAAAATAATTACAGAATAATTATGTACAAATAAAAACATATTAGTTATATTTATACAATAGCTAATACGCAACAGAAGAAATAATACAACAAATTGTACAATTAAACAAGAATAATCAATAAAAATAGGTCATATGGTTTACATGTGAGTATCAACAAGAATAATCAATAAAAACATATCATTTACCCTTACATTAAAAGCTCTTAGAGTATCAACAAGATAGGTCATATGGTTTACACGTGAGACTAAGGGAGGGTATTGTTAAATTTTCATAGAAAGATTAGCAGCAATGTGGTGTTACATGGTTGATTGAAAGAAATATTAACTTCGTAGATGGCTTAGATACAAATTAAAAATATAAGATGTTTTAAGTAAATGATCCTAAATACGAGGTGATTTGCGAGAAAAAAAAAACCCAGCCCAAAAATAACCTCTTTGCAAGCTACAGTTGCAAGAGCTGTAATCATACCCAAAAAAACCCCACCGTAAGTCGTCTGTAACTGGAAGTGTAAGCTGTGGTGGCAGTTATCGAACAGCTTTGTTTTCCTGCTCCGCCAACAGAATCCGAAATCCCTAGAAATTCGAAAGCAGACAAGCAAACCGCTTGCTTATAAAATCAATTTCAAAATTACCAATTTTGGGGTAAAAGTTATCAAGGAAATGCTTTGAAGATGGAGGAGGAGAGAGAAATCCCAATCTCCACCAATGAAGAAACTCCTTCTCGGTAATTATCATCAAATTACGGAATTTTTTTTCTCTATTTTTAGATCTGTGGGGTGTTCTTGTTGTTCTAGCATGTAATTACTTGATTCTCATGATTTAGATGTGCCCTGCTTTTGAAATTAGGGTTTTTTGGGTAGGATTTGATCGTGAGTGACCTAATTGTAATTGATCCTAAGTGTTTAGATATTCACTTTGCTTGAGAATTTGTTTCTGAATGAAATGAACCTTTGCATGCGACGAATATCTTTAATATCTGATGTCAATAATAAGGCTCGGATCAATTAACCCTAGTTTAGTGCATCAGTGAATTAATGCTGAATCTTAATTAATTATGGTATTAGGGATTTCGTATAGTTTTGCTCATAATTCCGTCTTCTAGATGTTAGAGCAATTTTTAGCTGCATTTGTTGGTGGCTATATGTAGAAATAAATGTTCAGCTAGTGGTTTTAAAAAAAGGTCAGTTTAGTGTTTGCCTGTGCCTGCTGTCTATCTCCCATTTGTGCGGAAAGCAAGAATGTGGCTGAAAATTTACTGACACATGTTGACAATGGTTGCTTTGCATGGTTGGATTTATGTAGAAGAACATTCCTTGGTAGTTGAACTCTGAATTGTCTGAGCTTTGGAAGTTCAAACTTAATCTTAGCTTCTGTAAACAAGTCCATATCCATCGTCCATATCCATCTCCATGATTAGCCTTGTGAACAAAAAGGGTAATTAAAGCTGGGAAGCATGTTTATAAATTTATATGCTATTATATTAGTACTGGACTCTTAGGTATGGCAACATTTGCTAGAGTTGATCTTGCTGCTTCTTTCTTAGACAACTTATCAAGACAGAAGATTACTTGTTATCAGCATTTGTAGTTTTATTTGTTGATGTTTCAAATTGAAATGAGGAAAAAAAATGTAACTCCTGTTGACAGTGTCCTGCTGCATTTTCTAAATGGAGTTTGCAAATATATGATAGATGTTATCACTGCAAATTCAAAATGGATGGACAGACTGGATTGTTTGGAAATAATGATTAAGATAGTTATAATTGTGGTTCCTTTTTGGTTTATGGCTCTACTTCTTAAGCTTGGGAACAATTGTGGTTTGTATACAGGGGATTTTGAACCATAAATACGCCAACTCTTAGTCTCAGTGTGCTAGCACCATCACTTGTATTTATCATATATGTCATGGTTTTATAATTGAATCAAAGGATTTAGATTAGCCAACAAAACAAAAAACCAAAAAACAAAAGACAAAAAACAAAACAAAACAAAACAAAATACATAAAATGTAATTACAGTTAAATTATAAAAAAGAATGAGGGTATATTATAACTAGAGTAATCGTTTTCATTATTTAGGATCAAATATTCGTCAAGATGGTCAGATTGAGGATGATATGGTTCATCGAATCGAATTAGAATAGTTATAGTGGAGGAGTGCTTTCAGAGTTCAATGTGATCGTAGAATACCTATGAAAAAAAGGGAAAGTTCTGTTGGACAGTCTAAGACATGCAATGCTTTAAGGATTAGAATATTGGCAATTAAACAATATGTGCAGAAAATGTGTAGCAAAAATGAGAATATTACGATGGACAAGTAGATATACACTAAGGGTCTGTTCGGTAACCGCTGCGTTTGTGGCGTTTCAGTTTTGTTTTAAAAAAAAAAAGCAAAATGTGTTTGGGAACCATTCCGTTTATCTGTCCAAATCCACAACAAAGCCAAACTTTCAACGGGTTTCTCAAAACACCAAATAGGTGTTTAAATCCCCTTGTTTTCATTTCTCTCCCAAAATACGACCCAAGCTCTCAGATCGCTCGGCCGCTCGCCCAAAATCTTAGGCTGCTTCGCTGGGCCGTGGACGCAGCGTCGCGCTCCTAGACCGCCTCGCCGTAGGTCGCTGCCCGCGTTCGCTGTGCGCCCGCTTGTGGCCGTCGCACCGCTCGCCTTCGTCGTCGCCTAAGCCTGACAGATCTGACCTTTCGCCGTCGCCTCCAGACCGCCAGAACTCCGTTGCCGCCGCCTCCAGACCCAAAACTCCCTCGCCGTCGTCTTGGGGCGCTCGCCCGTCGCCTTCGCCCTAAGTATAGATCCCGATCTTCGCCGTCGCCTCCAGAAACCCCCAAACTACGCTTGCCGCCGCCTCCAGACCCCCAAAACTCCGTCGCCGGCCGCCTCCAGACCCCCAAAACTCCGTCGCCATCGCCTTCAGCACCCCCAACTTCTGTCGTCGTCTGCTGCCAGACCCCCAGAACTCCGCTCGCCCCCATCGCCTCCAGACCCCCCAAACTCCGTCGCCCGTCGCTGCCAGACCCCCAATCTGTAACCATTCTCGTCTCGATCTTAATATTTCCTTTTTTTTCCGAATTTATGAATTGTTATGGGTAATTTTCAGTAGTTGTTCCTGCAATGTGACAATTTCAAAACCACAACCGTGTTTTCAAAACACTTTGGGAGAAAAAACCAAACACCAATGTGTTTTTCTACACAAACACAACAACAAAAACACCTTGGTAGCCAAACAAACCCTAAGAGATAAGGTATGAAATGAGCTCATTTGCAGGAAGTTAGAGACTGCTCTTATGGAGGATAAAATGAGCGATAATAGTTTGAGATTTTTGGTCATATGCAACATAGGCTATTAAATGCACCAATTAGGAGAAGTGATAATATTATTATTAATGGAGAAAAAGGGACTAGAGGTAGGCCGCGGAGACTTCTCAAAAACTGTTAAGAACGATATATCAATGCTGATTTAGTGGAGAACGATCCATGTAGCTGGCCCAAAATTTGGGATTAAGGCTTTACTGTTGTGGTTGTTGTTCATAATCATCTCATAAGCTAAGATCAATCCTCAACCGTCCATCCTTCTTAGGTTTGACACATTTTTTATTTTTTTATTTTTTATTTTGCATGAATAAAAATCTACAAATCCATGTTCAAGTTGAGCTTATGGCTCGTGAAAGCAAAGGAAATTGTAGCTTAAAAGACTAATTTGTTACTCAAGTTATGGAACTTATTCTTAAACCACTGTTACATGGACACGAGTGTCAAGTGTCCTGGCGTCCTAAAGTCTCTGATGGTGCAAGCTTTAAAAAAATAGGACATGGAAGCACTTTTGCTTTTGCATATTGTTATATTCATGCATTGCCGAAACACATATGATGTTCAATGGTTATATGGTGGCAACTCATTTAGCAAAATAAGCTATCAAGATAGACGTGGTGAGGCCAACACCTCTCGATGTGACTAGTAGAGTGGGCCTCACTACATTACTATCTCTTTGTATTTGTTTAACAAAATGAGCTTCCACCTCGTACACACTTTTTCCATGTGTGTGTTGTGTGATCATGTGCGTGTGGGTGTCATTGATCCCGTATTTAGTGGAGCAATAAACGTTCTTCAGAATGCTCTCTGTAGCACTATTTCTTCAAATATCATGGCATAGCAAACGAGTATAATGCAACATTGGACTATTAGGAGTAAGAAAATATAATACTCGTTAGCAGTGTTATGGAAAGCAAAAGCTGGAGCAAAGCGACAAGACGTAGCTTCAGTTCAGAGAGCTTTATAGAGTTTTAGTGGTGAGAAGCGCAAGGTTTTTTCAAAATACCAAAAAGACTAGGAAGCAACAAAAATAGAGAGGAAACTAAGAATTTGCATAATAAAAAAGCAAGTAATTGATATTAAAATCTTAATTGAAAAAAATGTATATCAATAAACAAAGATGATACATACAATTAATTTTTTTAGATCTTGAAGCGGTATAGTGAAGCAGAGGCTTAAGAGGGACTTGAGTGGGCTTTTTACAACTATGTCGTTAAAATTTCTTGTGTCTGTTCTTCCTTTCTGGATCCTTTCTATACAACAATGCTCTATTTTCTTATGTTTACAAGAGTCGTGTCCGAGTCATGTAACATGGATATCTAACTGCTGTATCATGTTTGAGGTGGCAAATTTGTAACATCTATTTTCTTATGTTTACAAGAGTCGTGTCCGAGTCATGTAACATGGATATCTAACTCCTATATCATGTTTGAGGTGGCGAATTTGTAACATCAAAGCGTCTTATTTAAAGCATGATTATGTTGACTGTTGAGGACAAAACACCTTTATGTATAGCCAGTCTGTTCATCGTATGGCCCTCCTCTTGTCTTTGCTTAGTCATATTAGATGGATCTCAAGGCTATAGCAGGTAGAAGCAAACTATTCTACTGGATATCAAGTGAAGGATGTGATTTTCAGTTACCTGGTTAAGCATTCAGGGAGTTTCAATGACTATTTCAATGACTCTTCTTATTTGTTTCTTTAGATAAGTAGATATAATTGTCTATTGCCAAGAGTAGAAACCTTTTGTACGACAGTGTGCTATATTAGAACTTGTAGCTAAGCATGTTTAGGTTTTGCAGACCCATATATACTTAGCCTGCAATTTTTCCCGCTTGAACTCTTCATTTGTCTCATTTCTTTTCAAATATGTCTTATTTTGCAGGTATGAATTGTTAAGTATGGTGAAAAGACACTCTAAACCATTGGTGGAAACAAATGATGATGAGCAGGAAGCTTCAGATGTCCAAATGGATGCACAGTTTTGGCATGAAATGCTGGATCTTTACTTCGTTCATTCTAGGGTATCACAAGGTCGCCAAGAAGATGACCTCATCTTTTTCGTTAGAAACATGGTATTGTTGTTTACATTAGCACCTACCATTTTTCTCCCCCTCAGCCACTTGTTTTATCTCCAGATTTTGTTAACAGTACAATCCTTTGCAGAGCTTGCATGGATATGGTTTCAATGATAACATGGAGGGTGAACCTCCATTCTTTGTCCGTAGGTGGGATTCTAAGGTATAAACATATGATTTATAGTTCTCACCCTTTTCAACAGATCCATGTGTTTCTACACAGATAGGAGTCTCTTAAAGGTTTTGGATTTTTGTGTTTTTATCGGATAGGAGTATTTAAAGCCATGACTGAAAAACTCAACATTTTGTTATATGAAATCTTTTCCTGGTATATTTGTTATTCGTCTCACTCATGCCTTTTTTTTTTCTTTTTCACGTTAAGCAGTTGGAGAAAATTCTTGGTGGAATTCCTGCAAATGTGGACTGGAGACGTTCTTTTTACTTGAATTTAATTGCTCACACATCCTTTACAGTCACAGTTGCAATTTGCAGGTATACTCACTCCTTTGCATCAGTTTATTATCAGATGGAGTGCTTTTAAATTAACTTGCTCATTTAGTGTTGAAAATAAAATTCCACCTGAACCTTTCTTTCTTTTCGCTGTAACTAGTTTGGTTTCATATTTGTAGCCATTTCGCATAAAGCATTTGATGACTTTGGATATTCAAATAATGCATTTGTCAAGTTACAATTTATCTGACAATGGAGTTAACGAAATTGTTAGCTACGTGTGCCAGTTTTATGACATCTTTCATTACTTCTTCTAACCGGTATTTATTTCTCTATCGACCAGTTTCTCCAGGAGATTTTTCATACTTCTCTGTGGATTTTTTATATGGACCCAATCCTTTTTTTATTCCTCCAAACTTAATTTAGTAGGCCATTCTTGCACACTTTGCTACTAGCATTCATGTCCATATGGAAATGGACTTTTTTTTTGGAAATACAAAACGGAAAATAGATAGTTAACAAAGGTGTTAGGTACATATGCCAATTTTATGACATCTTTCATGAGTTCTTCTAACCAGTATTTGTTTCTCTAGACCATCTTCTCCATCATACTTTTCTATCAATATTTCGTATGGCCCCAACCCTGTTTTTATGCCTAACAACTTAATTTAGTTGGCATTCTTGCACACTTTGCTACTAGTTGTGTGCATGTCCATATTGATGGCAATTGATATGGTTAGTTGCCATATTGGTTCTTTTACATGTGAGGGAGCATGGGAGCACGGGACTTTAATACGTGAAGATAAATGTCAATGATGTGTAGTCAATCACATAAAATCAACTTCAGAAGAGGTACTTTTAAAAGGTTTGACAGACAAAACATATCAGATCACTCACCAGCTTTAGTGCAAAATCATATGTTCCATGGCTGCCTTCTGTCTTAGAAAGGGTAACGAGTGAAGTATAGGATAATGAAGCAGTAAATATGACGGAACAGCAACGGCATGCCAGCCATCAGAGGTCCTGGCTTTGTTTGAACATAGCTAAAACTAATTTAACCTACTTGATGGTTTGCAGCATTCTTAGAGTTGCTTCTATCTTCTGCAGCAGTTACTTAATATTAGTAAGTTCAATTCTTCTAAATAATCCAAATGGGAAGATGCTCATCCACCTTGCCACCGTGTAGTCATTCATAGAAAAGACTTTTTCTTCTCCTTTCCTTTTGATTAAAGAACTATAGTCGAGAACACATCAATTGATGTTAAGAAGTTCATCACGTTGTTTGCTGTCCAGTCAGTAATTTATACACATTTGACCATGAACCAGAGAAAAATGGAAAATCATGCACTTTGCTAGGTGCCTTTCAATCTCTGTTGGTGATAAGATTCACTTTATATTGAACTTTGCCGTATGATAAGTTCAATTTTATGTGAAGGGAAAATAATACCTCGAGTCTCAGTCAATCTTCACTTTAATGAGTTGATGGATATTGCCAAGTTATGGAATATGCATAAATGACACCAACCCAAGGGAGAATTCATATCTAAGGCTTAGGCATTGAGGCTTTAGAAAACTTTTACGTTACAATATCATGTGCTTTCTGGGCAACCTGCTAAAAACACATATGTTAGGTGTCTTCCAGTTTTGAATAAGAGATATCAAACATGATTTTTTTTGTTAGAGTTCTATTTATTGTTGTTCTTTGTTTTCCATTCCATTTACAGAATAGGAACTGCATGTTACTTTACCACTGTGTCGAGAACAGAAAGTGTTAGTGCTTTTGTATTGTTATGTCCACAGCACTCAATAGATGATGTGAACATAAAACGTCTGCCACTTTGGAGATACTCAGATTGTAAAGATTCTAATTTTTCTATTTACATAGTATTCAGGCTCTGCGCAGACATCAAAATGGAGAAGATACGTCATTGTCTCCCATATACAAGGTGCATTTTGATGGCTATTTATTTATCTACATTTTCTTCTAGAAGCTCTCATTTTCTTAATGGTGATAAAATTCCTGGGATTTATCATCTTTATGTTATATTTATTGATATTTTTAATCTTTACTATAAATTTTTTATTTTCTTTTTGTTATTTGTTATTGTTTGCTTAAACTATTTCAGAACTTTCTTTCCATGGAAATAAAAAGAAGGATACGTTTTTGGGCTGTGTCCCATGAAACCCCCTTGAACTTTATTTACTGAGGGCCTAACTTTTCCCACGAAACCCCCAACTTTAAGGCCATCAGATTTGAACCATAATCTGAGCCATGGTTGGTTACAATTTTAAAGATCTGTGCACTGACACTTGAACATAAAAATTATTGCTTCAATTGAATGGGTTTGGATGAGGAAACCATTGTGAAAAATTAACCTGAAATCTCATCTAATATTAAAAGCAAAGATTCAGTAGGGAATAAATGAGATTTGAAATCTTTAAACAAGAGAAAGAAAAACATCCGGAGCACCAACATTGACCTGTGCACAAGGAAAATGAAGTTGGGGGGTTTAGTGGAAAAAACAAAGTTCAAAGGGGTTTCGTCCCAAGCTTTGAAGCGTTTTCTGGAATTTACTCTAAAAGAATGTTAGCCTCGAATGTGAATTGTATTTCGTGATAATCTAAATTGCACGGGCGTGGGTGCGGGTGCGGGTACATGACACAACAAATTTGTATAAGGTAGGGTATGAGGACACGACTAAAACTCATGGGATATAATCATAGTTCTTAGCTATATATGTAAACGACTCTTTTAAATTGTAGCTTTTAAAGCTGAAACCAACTCAACCTTTATCTAACAAGTTAAAAATTGAAGTGAAGTGTAGGATATATATCCAAGAAGTGTATGACGAATAGACATGCACTGTATATTGAGTACATGTCTGAATAAATATATGCATATATTTAAGGAATATCCAAAAAGTGTGGGGTACGAGTATGGGTATGACACCTGCTAGGTACGCATACAGCTCCATATTAGAAGTATCCAGGTAACATAGGTGATAATTATAAATAAGATTAAAACTGTTGACCTCTTCAGCTGTCGTCCATTTTCCTATGATTTAAAACTCTACTCTTATATTTTTAATCTGTCTCCTGCATATTGGACTCTGAGTTAGCTGTAAATCCCTAATAAAAGAAGCTTGTTGTGTTTTGTCTTTCTCAGTTCTTTGACCTAGTTCAACGGTTAGGTTTGGTCCCTAGCCCCTACCAGTTATTTTCTTTCTGATTCTAGATCCTTGTCGAAACTCATTTGGACATTTTCTAAATAGGAATTTGGATCAACTCGTAGAAATGACTAGTTTAACAAGTAATGAAAATGTTATCAATTATTTATGAGGATATCTTGGCCTTAAGTTCTGTTCTGTCGCTACCCTGATTCTACTGGGCACCTTCTGGGATGATAATGATGTAGCCAAGGTTACATAATGCATTACACGGCCTAGGTGTCGGACCCGACACCAAAGTCTAGGTGCCTAGGCAGGAGTCTACACAGGCCTAAGCGGTTTTCCTTTTTATTTTTATTTTTTTGGTTACAGTAATTGATAATAAATGTCAATGACATAGAAAGCGCTAGGCACCTCTAGGCGCTGTACTGACGCCTAGTGCCTAGGCTTATTTCTTTTTTCGTTTAAGTGGTGGTGGATAAGATTTTCTAAAAGTCAAAGGAGGTGGAGCCGTGGAGGAGGTGTTCACAATTAGTGGAGGGGGCCATAGGAGTTTAGAGAAAGGTTTGAGGACATAGAGACTGCAGCGGAGAAAATTACGATCAAGATTGGTACACTCCGCGTAAGTGGCCTACATTCTCCTAGCCGCTCATAAGACCTAGGCGGCGGCCTAGCTACCGTCTAAACCTAGGCGGGCTAGGCACCATCTTTGCATCTTGATTCTGATTTTGTTGAACCGTATTTGAGAGATTTTTATTTCATGGTACAATGCTTTCTCATGACATTGTTAGAATAACCCATGGTTTGGAGATATCTTCCAGTTGAAGGGTAGATGGATGGTGGGCTTGTGCATGTTTTTATCTTATTAGTGGGTAGCTTCAAGTTCAAACATTGTTACAGTGATAAGTTATGAACAGGTTGTGAAGACAGTTTATGCATCTCCTAGTCGCGTTAATTTTCAATTGGACCATAAAAAGGTTAGTTGTGTTGGTTTATTTCTAACTATCCTTATTTTTCCTTTACTTACATCTCTAATTTGTTCTCAGGCGGTGGAAACTTTACCTGCTTATCCAAATATTTCTTTTTCAGTTGATGATTTTGATGACACGTTTGATGCAGTGGTAAGCCATCATATATGACTTAGTGTACTCTAAAGTTCAATTACTTGGGAATTTCTAGGGCTTACTCATTCATGGGCCATGGCCTGCATATGAACCTATACTTCAGATGAGAAGCTATTATTATACTTGGATAAAGTTTTTTTTGACTTTTTTTTTCCAACCACCTTGTGTACTTGATCATGTACATCCCTTCAGCTGGCAACTTGGTTATTAGTCTCTGTAAATTTTTTGTTATCTTAAAATGTGCATTGATAGATGTTTTGTGGGCAATGCTTCTAAAACATCCCTTCAGCTGGCAACTTGGTTATTAGTCACTGTAAAGTTTCTGTTATCTTAAAATGTGCATTGGTAAATGTTTTATGGGCAATGCTTATAATGCAATGACAATATATGGTGATGCTAACCAGCTAAGCGTCACATGGATCCAGTCTTAGATTCACAGAGGGATCTCCAACGAATAGTGAGTGTGAAGGGGAAAAAATGACATAGGTGATAATGGGCAATATATATATGTTTTCTGGTAGCCTAAAACATGTTTCCAGAATGTTTCTCCATTAGTAATCTGCATCTTTCTAGTTTATCACATCTTATACAATGGTCAATTTAGCTTTTGTTCTTCCTTAACATGTTCTTTGTTTAATTGTTTTCTATAAACCCAGCAAGTTTAGTTTGTATTCGCTTTAAAAACTCTCTTACACTTGTATCCGATTGACAATTGACTAAAATAAGAAACATTTTGAACTTATGCAGGTTTTGACGGAAACAGATCATTGCTTTTGTGTCCTTCTGAATGCACATGGTGGAGCAGCTTTTCCAGCAGAAAATGTTGATTCTGATTCTTATAGGCATCAAAGAAATGACAGTGATTCTGACAGAGGCAAAATATCAAAGGTATGAATTACACCTACATGGTCTGAGTTAAACTGCTTCCAGTAGATATTTCCTTTTTGCTTCTTGTATACAATCATTCAGGTATTTCATGATGTTCATGCAGTTGTGTAATATCAAGGGGGAGGCCATTGCACATTTTGTCTAAATTTTGTCATAATTTATTTGATGTTACTTAAGAAATTTACTGGATGTGTTTCTGTGTTTGGAAACTGCAGAGATTGTGTTACACACGGACAAAAATTGTCAGCTTGTTCTTTTGTCAAGTTTGTATAGCTTGATTCCATATATAGCCATTTGAGCTAGGATGATATCTCCCACAAAGTACATATGTTATGTAGTGCAAGCAGAATTAACTTTAAATATTATCTAGCTAATCTAAAATGCCTAAAAAAGTCTTCTGACTCTTTATATGTGCATCAAATGGACCTAAAATGGATGGATTGTGATAACAAGTTGCTAAAATCTATGGTTTTAAATATTCTAAACCCATTAAAATTTGATTCGGAAGGGTTTCAAAATAGTCAAATCAGTGGGTTGATGGGATGATATATTTTAAAAACATTCGCGGATTTTTGTTGAGATGGATTCGTAGTAATAAATGGTTTTTAGTCTATGAGGCAATGTATGTCAGTTATGGGTGTTTCTATTAATATTTTGACATGTATAGCTAATTGTAGTTTTTTTTCCTTTTTTTAATTAATCGGCTAAAATACCAGATTGGCCTACAAAAGGACACTCATTTACCACTTTAGCCTAAAAAGTGACACCGGCGACACTTCGACTTAAAAGTGACAAATTGGCAACACATGTCTTTCCAATCGCCAGAGGTAATTTTAAGCGAAATAATAATGAATTTTTTAATACATACCCCTCAAATATCCTATATTTTTGGATTTACCCCGTCAAGTTCTAAAATTTGTAAAAAATGTCTCCTCTCCCTCCCTTCCCACCATCTCCTCCCGATCCTCAACTTCCCCTCCTCTCTCTTGCTCTCTTCTCTCCCTCATTTTTCACACCCTCACTCTTACCTCCTCCCTTTCCACTTTCTCCAACCCCACCTCTTCTTAATCTCTCTAATTTTTTATGATTGGAGGGTGAAGAGGGAGTGGACGGATCAAGGAGGGAGAGAGTGTAGGAAAGGTAGACGAGAAGGAGGTTGGGTTTTTTGATAGAATGTTTAGTGTTGGGGATTGGGAGTGGTCGGAAAAAGGAGGGAGAGGGGCAGGAGAGAGGAAGAGAGTTGGAGAGGGGAAGCGGAGAAGGAGGGAAAAGGAGTGGGAGAGAGGAGGGGGAGGTCGGGGATTGGGAGGAGAAGGTGGAATGGAGAAAGTAAGAGTAAGGATATGGAAAATGAGGGCGGAATCGGTTAGAGGAGGGAGTTTTAGGGATATGGAGGAGAAGAGAATAAAGGAGATGGTGGGAAGGAGGGTATTATTTATACAAATTTCATAATTTAGGGAGTTGGTAGAGGGATAAATCTGAATGATATGGGAGATTGAGGGGTCTGTATGCAAAACTCCCTTAACTTAAAAATTACCTCCGATGATTGGAAGGGCATCTGTGTCGCTAATTTTTCACTTTTTAGGTCAAAGCGTCACCAGTGTCACTTTTTAGGCCAAAGTTGTTAAAGAGAGTCACTTTTTAGGTCGATCTGGTATTTTAGCCGATTTTAATATGATGTTCTCCGGTTGTTCCCTAATCACATTAAATTCTATGGATGCATAGTCACAATAAATAGGGTTTCATTTATTGTTTCGCTTTTATGACATGGAAGGGTCAAATAATGAGACCTAGAGTAATAAGATAACCTTGAGCCATGTGTTTTCTTCCTAGCTCATGTGTAACCCAGAAACAAATTTTTATTAGGGTCAGCCACAATATTCGCGTTTGTTTGAATATAAGCATGCCGTTGGCTGCAAATTTGACGAGACTTAAAAATTTGTGTCTTGGGCCCTGTTGAATCGCTCCATAATAGTTTTCTTTTTATTATTTGTTATTACTAAACATGTTATTACTTGCTCAGTATTATGGCCTTCTTTAGGATCACTATATAATTTAGCATATTTTCTTGAGAATTCGAAGTTTCTCTTGACATTATTATTGTGTATATCTGCAGCTTACTCTGTTCTCAGGATTTGTTAGCTATCAGATGGTCCGAGAAGCATTTGATGGTATGTTGGTCATCTACTTTAGAAGTCTCCGCTTGGTTTTTAATGATTTTGATCATATCTTACTCAGCTTTCAAAAAATTCAACTAATGTCTAGCTGAAGCTTACTGGAATTATGTTCTCTAAATAGCAACAAGGTAACTAATATAATATAAAGTTGAAGCTGCAAGTGGGGGATAACCACACACTTTAGAAGGAATTCTAGTCCTATTTTTTACATTGGCTTCTCCTCTCTTTATTGCTCTTAAATTGCAGACGGCTCACAATTTCAACTATGCCCTTCAAATATTTACATTCATCATGAATTCCCTTTGCATCGATCTCATTCTCCTCTTTTGTTCCCTCTCTGCAATTTTGAGTGGTATCTATGAATATGGTGGTCTTATCTATTTTCCCCTTTCAAACAAATAGTTTTTAACACTTGGTTTTAAGTAACTATGTGCATATTAGAAGCTGACATAGCATAGTCGTCAATCAAAATTTGTTTGTGGAAAATTCCTCTTTACTCCTCTTTAGTTTGGTTTTCACATTGGTAGGACACTAATTTGTTGTTAGGCTTTACATTTGCTTGCATGTAGAGTGTGCGATTTTTAAAATTTTCCTTGTACTATGTCCCTCATCAGTCAACATCCAAACTCCCCTCCCCCCCTTTTTTTTGCTGCAATCACAAATTTGGGTACAAACATATTGGATATTTTTCCTTATTGTTTATGTTGGAAAGTTAAAGCCACTGTTTGACTTTGAACCAATTGCCAAATTGAGCAATAATTAGAAACTAAATGGGAGAAATCCCTCTTTTATATATAATGGGAAATGAGAAATTGGTAGTATTCCTGAAGGCACAAAAAACTGCCATGTGTCATATCAAAAGGTGGCATGTGACACCTAATCATATATTCACCTAAGAATACTCATCGAATTCATTCTATCCATAATTAGATACTTCTAATTGTAGTCAAATATTTGGTAATCATGATCAAATCATAATTATTCATAATTAAAAATTCTAGTAGGCATATTTTTAATGATAGTAACTATTTTATTTACTATTAGCTTTACATCTCAAAATATTGACACAAGGCCATACTTAATTTTTTTTAGAAGTTAAATTTCAACCACCAATAAGTTTAGTCGTATGGCACTAAACCCTCGATAAGTTTAGGAATTTTCGAAAATCCTCAATACATTTTGATTTTGGCACTTAATCCATAAGGGCATTACCCCATAAATTTACATTGACGAACGTTATCCCTCAGGACCAATATATACCTCTGAAATCATTCCTATTTGCAGATTAACACATAAATTACAAAAGATCCTTGAAAAATGCATAAAATCACAAATAACCCTCTGGAAAGTATAAAAATATAAGCAACCCTTGAAAAATCTAAAAATTACTAGCAACCATTTTTAAATTCGGAAAATAACAGACACCTCGCAAAAAAATCTAGAAACTTCAAACAAATCCTTGAAAAATATGGAAATTATAAACAACCCTCTGAAATATCTAAAAATTTCCAAAAAAACCCTCACCGTTCAAAATTACTAACAACTACCCAAAAAATTAGGATATTCCAAATAGTTCTGCAAGAATCAAAAATTACAAACTACTCCTTTTAAAATCAAAAATTTATAAACAACCTCCTGAAAAATTCAAAAATTACAAACAAACCCTAAAAATTTTAAACAACCATTATTGATGTTTTCTACCAAAAGTTATTAGGGCTTAAGTGACAAGACAAAAAACTTATTGTGCATTTTTTGCCAAAATTTATCGGGGATATTTTGGCCATTTGACCACACATGAACTAGCACGCCTCGTTTGGTACGCGGGAATGGACTCAAATGAGAATGAAATGGAAGAAGGAATTTAATGGAATTAATGTGAGAATGGAATAGTCATTCTCATTCTCACGTTTGGGTGTAATTTATAAAATGGAGTGGGAATGAACGTATTTTAAAATTATATATTTTATTGATTCCCATTTAAGTGGGAATGCTCATTCCCACATAAAGTGGGAATTGATGAGAAGTGGGAATGGGCATTCCAACTTCAAAAAAGATTGTGTTTTTGGTAGGAAGGAATGAGAAGTGAGAATGACCATTCCATTCCACCCTATTCCCGCATACCAAACGAAGCCGCAATGTTAATTTGGTAGTTTTCTTCCCAAACTTTTTTAGGATTTGTGAGAGTATCAAAGATATTTGGGGTTTAGTGTCAAACGCCAAAACTTATTGGGGGTTTAGTAGAATTTACTCACATTTCAATTTTTATAGAGAGGATAGATTAGTCGTTACACGTGAAGACCTTATATTTTTGAAAAATAGATTAGTAGTTACTATATCTGCTATTTTGTATGTAGAAGAATAAATTTAACTACCTAATATGGTAGAGATGTGGAGAAAATAGTTTAAATCCTCTGTATATAAAAATAGATTAGTGTTACTATGGTTTACTACTAGTGATGCAGAATAGATTCAGATCTGAATCTAGACATAATTTAATGAAGATTGGATCTAATTTAGTTCAATTAGGATTAGATAAATTATTTATGGTTTTATTTTATTTTATCTTTTTACTTTGTTTAAGATATTATTTGATGTTATCTTCTTTTAGTTAGGATATTATTTGATGTTATCTCTTTTTTAGTTAGGAGTTTTTTTTATCTTCTTAGGTTTCTTATAAATAGTGTTTTTCATTTGAAAAGAGAGATGAATGTTTGCGAGAAACCTCGCATGTGAATTCTAGCTAGTATTAAGCATGTGAGTTGCCAGCATGTGAAGTGCTTGTATCTTTTCTTTATAAATAAGAAATGCAATTGCAATTATTTGTTTTTTATTTTATTTTATCTAAATAATCATTCTTAACAGATGTCTATGCTTCCTTTCCCTATCATTTAGTTTAAAGCTTAGGATAGATCAGTCAATGCTACGCAGTGTTAGGATCTTTGGAAACACTATGGATAATTCTCATAATGACACATAAGCACAAATCACGGCACTCACCAAGATCCTTAACATGTTCATGAAGATAAAACTAAACACAAACAAGTCGTTGCACATGTAGACTAGCTAGACACTCGATTTCGTGAGCCAAATGATGACCTTCCAGTATGGAACGATAGAAAACTTATTAGAGGTGACCGTGGGAACATACTCCAACCTGTTAGAAGGCATGATACCATTTTTAGGCCTAGAGAAGATGACATTACTAGGAAAATTAAGATAGAGGCTTCATCCTTTGACGCATAAACCCTAAGAGTTTATAGCAGGCATGGATCATTATTTTGATTGATACGACATGTCCCCGAGTCATAGGATCTGGTTTGCTTGAATGAAGTTAATAGGGTCGGCCAAGATCTATTGGACCTCAATAGAGAGACAGTTGGTTAGGGCACATCAGGATCTCATTGAGACATGGGATGAGATGAAAGAGAAGCTCAAAGAAAAATATCTCACATCCTCATATTTAGATAGGCCGATGGATTAGTTGTCCACATTGCGTCAGGGAAAGTTGTCCATGGCGGAGTACATAGACAAGTTCGACGACTTAGTTTACTATTGAAATATCCAGGAAACTCGGTTTGCCCTTTCTGCATTTCACATTGGATTGAGAGCTGATATTCAGCGTGAGAAGGCCCCATCAATTGGCCTTACATCTAAAAAAATACCACTTGTCCCTCCCTAATTATGAATTTAAAATTTTGAAATAAAAATTTCCACAAACTTATTCCGTCAGCTTGCATTTTATTTTTATTTTTTTCTTTTTTAATTTTATAATATTACAAAAAAGAGGGATATTATAAAGGAAAGATCAGGGGTTAAACCATCTAATTTTGAAATAAAAATCGTCCACACCCTTATTTTGTGCTTCTTTTATAAGAAAAAAGAAACTTATAGTGAACCAAAAAAAAAAGATATATAAATCAAAGAAACCAAACCCACCTGTGCGTGCAGGGGCATAGCAATTGTGTCTAGTATATGTTTGGTTCAAAAGTCGTTGCTGTGGAATTCATTATAACTTTGTTCGATTACAACAAATTCGAAAGAATAATCTTTTTATAAGACTTTTTCTACACAACAAAACAAAAATTACAACTCTTGAGAAACAAACACGAAAATCGTCTATCAATTCTCGTTTTAGTGGGACTTTGCCTGTGCCGGGAACGCTTTGGTTCGTGGACCGCCGATTCACAGATCGTGAAGAGGGGGCTTATGATTCTAACTTCGTTATCGAAGTAGAAATTGAAACGATATCTTATCGAAGTAAGATAGTCGTTCTTCTTAAAATCAAGTCGAAGCTTAATTTCAAGGCGTTGCAAGAAAAGAACTCAAATCTGCTCTCTCTCTGCTCTGGAATGCTCTAACAAATGCTCGATCCTCGTCAGAAGTGACCCTAGGGGGGTATTTATAGCCTCAAGGGTCAGTAACTGCAAAAACTTAACAATCGAAGAAGTCAGTACGGCGAGACAGTGTTTACTGTCTCGCTGGGCGAGACAGCGTTTGCTGTCTCGACCCGCGAGACAGTAAATTTGCTGTCTCGCCCAGCGAGACAGTAAATACTGTCTCGGAAAACGACAGTTTCTCGCTGTAACTGTTCTCCCACGTTTCAAACTCCGTTATTTTGGCAGTTATCCACGTGATTTTCGCCCACGATGTTTCCCACGTCCCTTGGCAGTTAATGGACACGTGTAGGGCAGTTAAAAAAAAATTAGTTTTGACCATTTCAACACTGTCTCGCTGGCGAGACAGCAAATACTGTCTCGCTGGCGAGACAGCAAAGCCTGTCTCGCTGGCGAGACAGCAAACACTGTCTCGCAGGCGAGACAGCAAAGCCTGTCTCGCTGGCGAGACAGTTCATACCTGCTTTGATTTTCTTAAAGCAGTATGAGGTACCTTTGAGTGATTTTCTCTATGTCTGGGATATCTATTAGCATTTTTTGACGCCTACAGTATATACTCAAAATAGTTAATAATGTTTGTTGGTAATATAGGTAAATCAA